TAAAAAGCATTGTTTCTACCCAACATAAGGCTATAGATAACAAGTACATGGTTTTATCATCAAATTGAGATGGAGAGAAATTATTATAAAAGATTAAATATGAAAACGACTGACAATATTATAACGAGTGGATTAGGTACCAGCGTTCAAAAGTCCTTATTAGCTGAAGATTAAATTTCGTAGATGAATTATTATTTAGTATTAAATGTTATAAAGTAAATTTATCACAGCTTCATTTCTTCAATGCAGATTTCGACTATTTTCTCTTTGATATTGCTTCTGACAAATGTTTTTAGAATGCCTACTTGCATCATTAATACAAATATCTAATTTATTTCATTAATTAAGTATGAAGAAATGTTCTTGAATAAATTATTAATATCATATTACAAATTTACTAATGGCACGAATCAGGTGATCGAATATATCTGTGCCATTCGGACAGTTTTATTTTTGTAATCCTGCATGATTCACTTTTCTTAATTTAGATAGTTTTAACTTTGTTTTATATGTATTAATGGGAAGAATCGAGCTGTGTTGAAAATTTTAGAAATTTTGTTAATATTCGCCAATATTTGATTTAGAAAATTTGCTTTATAGATATTACTTGTATTGTGATAATAGATTAAAAATTTGACCAAAAGTTATATTCTACATACACGAACTTGTCCTCGATTTATTATTTACATTTCGGTTTGTTCTTTCATAACTTTGTATTATATAATTGCAAATCTAATTCTCATAATCTTGACTCTATGCGTATATGAATATAAATTGTTTACATCATTTTTAACTTTAATAGATTTTTTTATTTATTAAATATTATCATAAATATCCTTATTTGGATCTTAATGTTTTGTTTTTGACACACCATTATTAAACTATAAAAAAAACACCTTGTTTAATATTTGAAGAACTTTTCGGTTCAAATTTTCTTTACATTATAAAATCAAAGTCATAAATCGATAAAATATTTGTAAGTAATTTAAGAATAAATAAATTTTTTTTTTTTGAACATCGATTACTTACATATATTTTTAATATTTACTTAATACTACTTTAAAATAAGTTGTTCAAACACGGGATTTACTACAGTATTTATCGATTAATCGTTCTTGGATTGCAACTAAGTCACTGTATATTAAAATATCCATGGATTTTAAAATTAAATGTGTAATCTAAAATAAAAACGTCATCACAGAAAAGTTAGCTTGAACCGAATTTTTCAACATTTACAAATTTTTTTCACACATTCAATAAGCTAATTAGGAATACACATAAAGATTTCAATTTGCTGTTTACAGCAGCCAATATTTAAAAATATGGAAATAAAATGTAGCATTGCAAAAATTGATTAAAATGAATCGTAAGATACATAAAAAAAAATGTCGGATCATTCGAAAACCATCCGGAAAACGTGCCAAAATCCGCAACGCTTTGAAAACATTAGTTGCTGCAGGTTTTAGCAAGCTTCCTGACCAGTTTTTGATGCTAATTAAACTAAATTTAAAGATAAAATTAATCATACATTTTATTTACGGTAAGAGTAAAATTCTTTAATTTTAAAGTTAATTTTACGTAATCATGCTATAAAAACTCTACCAATCTTATATTAAATATGACCATATTATCATTTATTTTATAATTT